CGCTGCCCGATTTGGGTCTGATTTGGACTAGATGTGTAACACATGTGGGACCGGATTTTGGACCGGATTTGCCACTTCACAAGGGAGACGAGACGAACGAGGATGGGGAGGGGATATACAGAACGGGCGAAGGGGAGCAGGAGGATGGGCAAATGTCGCCGGCGAAAGCTCCCGTGGAAGCCCCCCAGTCTCCGCGGACTGCCGCCCCCCGCCGCCCGCACCGCCCCGAATTGAAGAGCAGTCGCAACCCCCTGAAAGATCGAGCCTCAGAAGGCCTACCCACAGAATGATGCACCGCGGGCCATCGTCTCACTCGGGGTCAAAGCGACAGCTGTACAAACATTGCCTTCTGGACATCCAGGCAGAGTTTTCGTGTCGGCGCTGGACCCCCCATCCCCTGGCGCGCTCTTTGCGCCAAAGGCGACGCCGGAGGCGCCGCCAAAGTGGCCGTAGCGCCGACCCGAGAAATCCGCGTGGACTTCGGAAAGTTCATGTTACGCACGTTGGTTGGAGTATTTCGGCGCAGAGTGATGCTTCGTGGGTAATTAATCATCTGCCTCCCTCTTCGCTGATCTCCCAGAGACCTCAAGGGCATCACCGATATACAAGCGACGTCGGGACGGAGAAATTCGAACTCCAGGTCGTGCTGCATCGCCGATGCGACGCAATCCTCCAACCCCATCTACTCCGGCCTCATTTGGGAGGCCAGGGTCTCATCCCCCTCCCTCTCCCAGAACGAGGCTGCCACGGGGCGCTCCTTCATCTGCGCGCGCGCGGTGAAAAAAGTGGTTCGTCTGCCAGAACTGCGGCTTCGGGCGACGCTGTTGCCTGTCGTGGCGCGAGGGTCTGGCGCACGAACGAGTGCAGACTCCGCCTCCCCTCAACCTCCCCTGCCTCCACCCCCCGCAGCCTTCCCTCCCGCCCCTCCCATCCCTTCACTTCCCCTCTCCCCTCTCCCCTCTCTCTTCTTCTCTCCTCCGCTCCACTCTCCTTCCTGTTTCCTTTCCCCCCTCCCCATCCACTCCTCTTGCATCTCCTCCTCCTCCTCCTCCTCCTCCTCCTCCTCCTCCCACCATCCCCCGCTCACCCCTCTAACTTCCCCACCGTGCGCTCACCGCTGCTTTGGGGGCGTGAAGGGAGGTGAGCGCGGGGGACGTGGCAGGAAGGGTAGGGAGATGGAAGAGGAAGGATGGAAGGGGAGCGCGGAGGGATGGGAGATTCTAGAGCCGGCCAGCAACTGGCTCGGACAGAATGCCTACTCCACCCCGCCAAGCGTCGCTGACCAACGACAGCACAGAGCGGGCTCCGCCTCGAAGGAGAGGTAACAGCCCACGCTCGTGGAGCACGGAGGGCGGGGCGAGGTGAGGCGCGACCGCTTCGAGCGGCCCGCTTCTGGGCGGCAACGGCCGAGGCGCTGAGGTCGTTCATCGAGGAGTCGCCCGCGGCGCAGACCCCTCTGGCGAGGCACTTGCTGGAGGAGCTGGAGGGGGCGCGTGGCCAGGAGGTCGAACTCCCGAGCTTCGACGGCGGGCGGGTGCTGAAGACGGGCCGCCCCAGCACCGCAGCCCGTGCCCTGTCCACAAAGAGAAATGAAGGGAGGGGTAGAGAAAAGAAAAGACAGCATGTAGCTTCCTGTAAAAGAACCACAAAAAACAAAAGGAGATCAGACAAACCACAACAATCACAAACAAACACAGAGAAGGAAACAAAAAACAAAAAAATAATACATAGATCAACAAGCAAGCAAACAGGCGACAATAAAACAAACAAAGAACAAAGCCAGGACCTAAAGAAGATACAGACACACAGAACGTGCACACCAGAGTATAATAAAGAAAGGGAGGAGCAAAAAAGAAAAACAAAGAAACATTAAAAGCGAAAAGATAAAAAGAAAAGAAAAAAGAAAGAAGAAATAGAAACACAGTAAATCTACAGAAAAAAGTAACAGGCGCAAGAAAGGCGCCTCGCTTGAGCCGTGATGGCCTTCCTCTCGTGCTGGATGCTCAGCTTTCGCTTTTGTTTGGCCGTAGGGTCCTATCTGTTGATATAGCCAGAGCGCGCTGGCGGCTTGTTGATGTGTCCCCCTGTCCTCTCTCGTCTTCCTCAGGATTGAGAACAGAGACAAGTTGCATCGCAACGAAGTGTGGCCCTGACGGGCCCGTAGCATCTCTTCAGAAAGAATGTTTAAAAAACTGATGGACCGGGGGTTTTACATAAACAGGGGGGCTGGAGCACAACATAGATGAATATCCCAAACCCTCCCACCCTATGTGCGCAAGCTGGTGCTTAGGCATGTGTGCAAATATCCACAATTTGGGGCTGGGACTTTGCGTTTCCGAGTTTCTCGCTGGCCCTGGTGAGGCCTTGTGGCCAGGTCAGGTACCGCTCGAGGCCGTGGGCTCACAGTGGCTCGGTCCCGCCTTTGAACACCTCGGGGGGGGACTGCCCCCGCTAGCTCGGCTTGCGGCAATCTCCCGGTCGCACCCGCTGCTGCGTCGGATATTCAGGCGCCGTGGTGGTGCGGCCTCGCGTCTTGCTATTCTGTAGGGTTGTCGCTCCAGCTCCGCCTGCCCCCTTTTAGAGGTCCCCCCCGAGCTTTCAGTACAACGCTGGCTATATAATAGATGCGTTAATCTAAAAGGCCGTTTCCTGTACCAGTTGCAGCTTCCACTGTTACAGTTCTGCTTTGTGCTGCTTACTGATCCAAATCGTATTGTATGAATTGCTGGGGCGGGTGAAAACTTACACCCATCATGCAGATCGGCGGGGTCAGGGTCCAAAAACACAAAGGATTTGCCACATTTCTGAAATTCGGTGGCACCCCTCACGCATATCGGCGGGGTCAGGGTCCAAAAACATTTGGTAGTTGCAACATTTCCGAATTCGGTGGCACCCCTCACGCAGATCGGCGGGGTCAGAGGAGTCCAAACATGAAAAAAAAAAAAAAAAAAAAAAAAAAAAAAAAAAAAAAAAAAAACAAAAAAAATAAAAAAAAAAATAAAAAGAAAAAAAAAAAAAAAAAAAAAAAACAAAAAAAAAAAAAAAAAAAAAAAAAAAAAAAAAAAAAAAAAAAAAAAAAGAAAAAAAAGCCAACGGAGATTGGCTACATTTCTAAAATTCGGTTGCACCCCTCCGTCAGATCTGCGGGTCCGGGTCCAAAAACATATGGTAGGTTTGCACATTTCTGAATTCGGTGGCACTCCTCAAGCCGCAGATCGGATGGATCAGGGTCCAAAAACCAAGTATTTTGCCACATTTCTGAATTCGGTGGCACCCCTCACGAGATCGCGGGGTCAGGGTCCAAAACAACACAAGGTATTTGCACATTTCTGGAAAGTCCGGTGGCACGCTTTCGGCCAGATCCGCAGGGGTCCAGGGTCCAAGCACACCGTATTTGCCCGCGGCACCCCTCACGCAGATCCGCATGGCCAGGGTCCAAAAACATAAGGGATTTGCAACATTTCTGAAATTCGGCGACACCCCTCACGCAGATCGGCAGGGTCAGGGTCGAAAAACAAACAAGTCCCGACACTGCTTCACGGCGAAGCCAAAGCCTCATGACTTCGCTCTTGCATGGCCCATTCTCCGAGAGAGGGGGCCGGCGGCAGGGGGCGAAGGCCTTACGCCCCGTCGCCACCTCGTCGCCGCCCGTCGTTTGGGGGGGGTGTCGGTCTGGCGGTTCCGTGCTCGCCATCGCCGTTCCGTCGCTGCATCTACCTCGTTGTTGCCCGTCATGTGTGCCTAATTGTCGGTCTGGCGGTTCCGTGTTCGCCATCGCCGCCCCGTCGCCGTTGTCGCCGGCTCGCAAAGGCTCTCTCGTTGCTAACAGACTATCAGGATCTACCACCCCCCCGGGATAACTGGTCCCTTTTTCCTTCGCATTGCAATGTGCATCTGTTTCTGCTCCGTCGCCCATCCTAGATATAGACTGGTATCGTCCATACCCAACCAGAATTCGGCCCCCGCTCATCCCTTGCCAAAAAATACTATGCGCGCGCACTCGATTACAAAAAAAAACCGTGTTCAAATACCATTTGCAACAAATGGGTCAAAAAGTCACGCGTGCGTCGTCGCGCACGAATGCCGAAAACCGTCCGACACTTCAAAATCCGTGAGAATTTCATAACAGCGATAATCACGACAACGTATAACAAAAACGAATGGCTTCGCAACGTGAGTGCACGTGTTTACTTCTTAAATGAAAAACACGCCCGCGTTCTAGCGAATCCCTCAGAAACCCACAAATGCTTCATACTTTCATGAAATGTTACCAGACGGGCCTTTCGCGCGCGCATGTCTGAATCGTTCGGACGCTCTGGCGTGCGCGCTGTCACAAAAACCCCGTGCAACAAATGAGACGAAGTGCGCGCGCGCGCGGCGCCGCGCGCGCATGCTGGAATCCTTCAAAAACCTATTTGGTTTCGTAGCGGTTTCAACAACTATTGTCCCGAACGCATATCCAAACGAAAGGTTTTTCAACATTCGATTTCAAAGCAGTCCTGCGCTCGCGGTTTTGCGGATTATTACGAAGACCGTAGGTGCTCCAACATGTTCATCAAATTCTGCAAAACGGGCCTCTCGCGCCGCATGTTGAACTCATTCGAACGCGCTTGCGCGCGTGCGGGGGGGGGAAGGCACGACCCGTGTCAAATAATACAGCGCGGGCCGCTTGCGCGCGTCGGCCTCGCGCGCACTTCGAACTCGTTCGAAAACCTTCGTCGCCGACGCGGGGACATCGTCATGGCTATCGGCGGGCATAATCAAGATCGGCGCCATCATTGGCCATGCCGTCGTCGCCGGCACCATCGTCACCATGATTGCTACTCTCATGAACGTTTCTACCGTTGTCGGCGTCGCCATGCTACAGCGCCCGCCCAAGTCACCGACTCGCACTGAAGTGCCTGCTAGGAAGTACACAGCAATCAGCGCCACCGCAGCCGCGACGGTCGCGCCAAACTAGCTGGCCACTGTGCGCGCGAGCATGCGCGGGCTAGCCTGGCCGCAGAGATGTACCCGCTAACGCCAAGCACTCATCACAATCGCCGCCCGCATAGGTTTTGCAAACCAAGTTGCGGGTGGGTGAGTGGGAGGTTTGCAGTAGCATGGGATGTGTCAACTCATTTATAAGAAATTCCATTCTCCTTTCCAAAAGGGAAATAAACTCTATCCCCCCCCCCCTGGACTTATCGGTTCCCCTTTCGGGTATGTAAATCATATATGATTCTGACCACTCGTCCATCCTAAATATGAAACCATACCATCCCAGCTAGGCCGGGTCCCCCCCCTGAGGTCCCCTTGTGAAAAAAAACTATGCGGTGACATTTTTTGTTCTAACATAACACTTGTTTCACGAATCCCTTGCAAAAAAATGGACGAAGTGCACACGCGCGCGTCGTCGCGCGCGCATGCCGAAATCCTTCACAAACCTTCGGTGCGGGAAAGATTTCGTAATCGAGTTGCCAAAAAAACACACAAACACACAGGGTTTCGCAACACTGATTTGCTAAAAAAGCTACCGCGCGAGCTCTTGCGAAATCTTAAGAACACCATGGGTTTTTCAAGATTTTCACAACATGCTACCAAACGGGCTTCGCGCGCGCATGTCGAAATCTGTCGAACGCCCTTGCGCGTGTGCCGTCGCGAGAATCCTCTGCGACAAATGGAACGAAGTGCAGACGCGCGAGTCGTCGCGGGCGTATGCCGAAAACCTTCAAAACCCATCGGTTTCAGAAGGATTTCAAAATCGTGCGTCCAAAAAACCTACAAAAACCTAAGGTTTCGCAACACGGATTTTCAACAAAAGCGTGCGCGCGCGCTCTTGCGTCGTCGTCGTCGTCGTCGTCGCTGTCCTCCCTCCTCCCGCGTCGTCGTCGTCGTCGTCGCCTACGTCGTCCTGTCTTTTCTCGTGTTCGTCGTCGTCGTCCTCTTTGGCGTCGTGGTCGTTTCCGTCGTCGTTGTCGCCGTGGTCGTCCGTCCTCCTCCTCCCACGTCGTCGTCGTCCGTCGTCGGCGTCTCGTCGTCGTCCCTCCTGTTTCGTCACCGTCGTCGTCGTCGTCGTCGTCGTCGTCGTCGTCGTCGTCGTTGTCGTCGTCGTCGTCCTCCCTCCTCCCTCGTCGTTGCCGTCGTCGGCGTCGCCGTCCTTCCTCCTTCTTCGTCGTTCGCGTCGTCGCCGTCCTCCCTCCCCCCTCGTCGTTGTCGTCGTTGTCGTCGTTGTCGCCGTCGTCGCCCTCCCTCCTTCCTCGTTGTCTTCGTTGGCGACGTCGTCGTCGTCTTCGTCGTCGTCGTCGTCGGCGTCGTTGTCGTCTTCGTCGTCGGCGTCGTCGTCGCCGCCATCGTCGTCGTCGGCGTCGTTGACGTCGTCGTCGTCGTCGGTGTCGTCGTTATCGTCGTCGTCGGCGTCGTCATCGTCGTCGTCGTTGTCATCGTCGTCGTCGTCGTCGTCGGCGTCGGTGTCGTCGTCGTCATCGTCGTCGTTGTCGACGTCGCCGAAGTCGTTGGAAACGTCGTCGGTGTCGTCGTAGTTGTTGTCGGCGGCGTCGTCATCGTCGTTGTCGTTGTCGTCGTCGGCGTCGCTGTTGTTGCCAAGTGCCATGTGGTACCCACCATCACGGTCTTAAGAGATTTTGCAAACCAAGTTGCGGGTGGGTGGGTGGGATGTTTGCACGAGCAGTGGAGTGGACAACTCACTGCGAACAGAAATTAATCAAACCACATATACGGCACCGCATATGTTGTACCTGGATTACGGCGCCTCTACTGCACAATACAGATCGCACCACAACATATGGCACCACATATATTCTCCTTTCTGAAAAGAGAATAGACTCTACCCCCCCGGACTTTTCGGTTCACCCTGGGATAATATGATTTCATATATATATATATATTCTGCACACTCGTCCATCCGAATTATGAAATCATACCATCCCAGCTAGGCCGGTTTCCCCCCTGAGGTTCCCTGGTAAGAAACACTATGCGGTGACAGTTGTTGTTCTAACATAACACTTTTACGCGAATCCCTTGCACCAAAAAAGACGAAGTGCGCACGCGCGCGTCGTCGCGCGCGCATGCCGAAATCCTTCAAAAACCTTCGGTGCGGGACGGATTTCGCAATCGAGTTTCCAAACAACATGCAAAAACACAGGGTTTCGCAACACAGAGTTGCTAAAAAGCTTCCGCGAAAGCTCTTGCGAAATCTTAAGAACACCATGGGTTCTTCAAGATTTCCACAAACTGCTACCAAACGGGCTTCGCGCGCGCTCATGTCGAAATCTGTCGAACGCCCTTGCGCGTGTGCCGTCGCGAGAACCCCCTGCAAAAAAAAAACGAAGTGCAGACGCGCGCGTCGTCGCGCGCGTTTGCCGAAAACCTTCAACCCATTGGCTTCGGAAAGATTTCAAAATCGTGTGCCCAAAAAACCTACAAAAACACAAGGTTCCGCAACACGGATGTTCAACAAAAGCGTGCGCGCGCGCTCTTGCGTCGCCGTCGTCGTCATCGTCGCCGTCCTCCCGCCTCCCGCGTCGTTGTCGTCGTCGTCGTCGCCTACGTCGTCCTCTGTCTTTCCTCGTGTTCGTCGTCGTCGTCCTCTTTGGCGTCGCGGTCGTTTCCGTCGTCGTTGTCGCCGTGGTCGTCCTTCCTCCTCCTCCCACGTCGTCGTCGTCGTCCGTCGTCGGCGTCTCGTCGTCGTCCCTCGTATTTCGTCGCCGTCGTCGTCGTCGTTGTCGTCGTCGTCTTCCCTCCTCCCTCGTCGTTGCCGTCGTCGGCGTCGCCGTCCTTCCTCCTTCTTCGTCGTTCGCGTCGTCGCCGTCCTTCCTCCTCCCTCGTTGTTGTCGTCGTTGTCGCCGTCGTCGTCCTCCCTCCTTCCTCGTGGTCTTCGTTGGCGACGTCGTCGTCGTCTTCGTCGTCGTCGTCGGCGTCGTCGTCGTTGTCGTCTTCGTCGTCGCCGCCGTCGTCGTCGTCGTCGTCGTCGGCGTCGTTGACGTCGTCGTCGTCGTCGGTGTCGTCGTTATCGTCGTCGTCGGCGTCGTCATCGTCGTCGTCGTTGCCATCGTCGTCGTCGTCAGCGTCGGTGTCGTCGTCGTCGTCGGTGTCGTCGTCGTCGTCGTTGTCGGCGTCGTCGAGGTCGTTGGAGACGTCTTCGGTGTCGTCGTAGTCGTTGTCGGCGGCGTCGTCATCGTCGTTGTCGCTGTCGTCGTCGGCGTCGCTGTTGTTGCCAAGTGCCATGTGGTACCCACCGTCACGGTCTTAAGAGATTTTGCAAACCAAGTTGCTGGTGGGTGGGTGTGATGTTTGACAAGCGAGCAGTGGAGTGGACACCTCACTGCGAACAAGACATACAAAAACACAAGGTTTCGCAACACGGATTTTCAACAAATGCGCGCGCGCTCTTGCGGCGTCGTCGTCGTCGTCGTCGTCGTCGTCGTCGTCGCCGTCCTCCCTCCTCCCGCGTCGTCGTCGTCGTCGTCGCCTACGTCGTCCTCTGTCTTTCCTCGTGTTCGTTGTCGTCGTCCTCTTTGGCGTCGTGGTCGTTTCCGTCGTCGTTGTCGCCGTGGTCGTCCTTCCTCCTCCTCCCTCGTCGTCGTCGTCGTCCGTCGTCGGCGTCTCGTCGTCGTCCCTCCTATTTCGTCGCCGTCGTCGTCGTCGTCGTTGTCGTCGTCGTCCTCCCTCCTCCCTCGTCGTTGTCGTGTCGGCGTCGCCGTCCTTCCTCCTTCTTCGTCGTTCACGTCGTCGCCGTCCTCCCTCCAGTCCTCCCTCGTCGTGTCGTCGTTGCCGTCCGTTGTCGCCGCCCGTCGTCCTTCCTCCTCTTACTCGTCGTCGCTTCGTTGGCGTCCGTCGTCGTCGTGTGTTTCGTCGTCGTTGTCATCGTCGTCGTCGTCAAAAAAAAAAAAAAAAAAAAAATCAAAAAAAAAAAAAACAAAAAAAAAAAAAAAAAAAAAAAAAAAGCGTCGGTGTCGTCGTCGTCGTCGTCGGTGTCGTCATAGTCGTTGTCGTCGTAGTCGGTCTTAACAGGTTTTGCAAACCAAGTTGCGGGTGGGCGGGTGGGATGTTTGCGCGAGCAGTGGAGATGACGACTTCAAGTTCAGCAGAGTGGATTGCACCGCATAGACTACACCACATACCTGCCTCCACAAGCATTGCCCAACACATAGTGCACCGCGTAGACTGCACAGCATGGATCGCACGACGATTAAATGGCACGACGTAGATCGCACCATGTAGGTTGCGCCACAACGATTGCCCGCAGACGTTGCACCGCATAGGTTGCACCACACATGTTGCCCCTCATAGATTGCATCACGTAGATTGCTAGAACACACGCTGCTCGGGGCCCACGCTGGCTAACATTGAGTAGTTAATTGCAGAGGATGAGAGGAGGGATCTGGGGGTGAGGGTAACGGGGAAGGCGAGAGGAAGGTGCAGGGGAGGAAAGAATGCGAGGGGATGGAAGGATGGGGGGAGGACAGGATGGGATGGGGAAGGTAGGGAGGAGGAGTAGATGGGAACGGAGGGCTGGAGTGGTGGGGAAGGGGAAGGGGAAAAAGGACGCAAGGAGGGGGAGAACGCACCCATCAGGCAGGAGTCAAAGTCTTCATCCCTCGACCTGGTGCATGTCTGGAGACTCTTCTCCGTGCACCCTTGCTCTTTGACTCGATAACTCCAAGCCGCATCCGATAACCATCCGAATATACCAGCTTGGGAAACCCGCTCCGTGAGCGGGCACCCTCAGACCGCGCATGCCTGCAACGTGTTCACTCCAACCAGACGCGCTTGCTGGCGAACCCTTCTGGGAAATTTTTGGCGAGGCCTGCACGCGGTCCAACGCCAGCACTGCGTTCGCTGCCTCGGCCCCGCGAGCAGGAGCGGGAGAGCGAGCAAGAGCGCTTCGCTGCCCGTCCTTCGTGCTGAAACGAGGCGGAGGAGGGCGAGCAGGAGCAGCTGGAGAACGAGCAGGAGCCCGAGCAGCCGTTGCGGGAGCATGGGGATGAGAGCGGGAGGGAGGAGGGGAGAGGAGTGAGAGGGCGGAGGGAGAGAAGGGAGAGCAGGAGGAGGGGGAGGCAGCAAGGAGAGAGAGAGAGAGAGAGAGGAGGCGGGACGAGGCGGAAAACCAGGAGGGAGAGAAGGAGGGGGAGGAGGAGAAAGCTGGCAGCGCGACGCGCGTGCGCCGGCCGGCCGCCGCTGGCCTCGGCCCTGGCCCGACGAGGGCGTCAGCTGCTGTCCCGCCGAGGCGGCGGCGGCCGTCGGCGGGGCGGCGGCCGCCAGGCGCGACTGGCGGGCGCGCGGCACGAAGACAACGACAGCGACCGTGACGACGGCGATGTCGACGATCACGACGGCAACAACGAAGACAAGCACGACGTCGCCGACGACGACGGCGGCCAGGATGAGGACCAAGGCCACGCTGCCGCCGAGCGCTTGCGCCGCCGGGGGCCTTGGCGGCGCCGTGCAACGCCGCGCGCCGCTCCCGCGCGGTGTGACGCCACAGCCGCTGCTCTGGAGGTGCAGCAAGCAATGCTCGCCCTGTCGCGCCGCCGCTCCCGCGGCGGCCGCGCCGCTGCCCGCAGGGCGACGGGATGTTGCTGTGTTGGTTTACGGCACCTGATGCTCACACTCCCTTGGCCACAACGAAGGCGGCTGCCGAGCGAGGCAACGAGATCTTCTGCACACATCCGCAGGCCCAGGCGAGGCCCATCCTGGGCCATGATCGGTGCTTCGGAGGTTGGGGGGTGAGATCGCAGCGAAACGGAGATTCCCAACCCGCGGTGTCCCGTGGGGTCCCGTGGTGTCCGCCGTTGCCAGGGCGAAGTCAAGACAAATGATTCTCCCCCGTCCGTCCGTCTGTCCTGCGGTGGCTCGCGGTGTCCCGCGGTGTCCCGTGGTGTCTCGTGGTGTCCGCCGTTGCTAGGGCGAAGTCAAGACAAATGATTCTCCCCCGTCCGTCCGTCCGTCCGGCGGTGAGGTGTCCCATGGTGTCCGTTGGTGTCCCGTTGAGTGAGATCGATAGTGAGATCGATGTGGTGCCCCGAGGTGTCCCGTGTTGGTGTCCCAAAAAGTGAGATCGATAGTGAGATCGACAGGTGTCCCGTGGTGTCCCGTTGAGTGAGGTCGATAATTGGATCGATAGTGAGATCGATGTGGTGTCCCGAGGTGTCCCGTGGTGTCCCGTTGAGTGAGATCGATAGTGATATATATAGTGAGACCGATAGTGAGCTCGAGAGGTGTCCCGCGGTGTCCCGTTGAATGAGATCGATAGTGAGATCGATAAAAAGATCGACGAGTGTCCCGTGGTGTCCCGTTGAGTGAGATCGATAGTGAGATCGATTGAGTCAGATGTTGGTCCCCCCCTCTACCCCCCCCCCACAACCTCCTTCTCACCCGAAGGGTGGTCGTATAGAATAGGTATGCCTCCCTCGCCAAGCCAGAAGGGCGTACACACCGCCAATTGGCCCAGGATGGTCCTGGCCAGGGGGCGGTTATGTATAGATCTCGTCCCATTAGCCTGCTCCCCGCTCCCCCTTGGAACACAAGATCCGCATTGCATTCCACTCCCCCTCGCCTTTGTTGTCGTCACCGCTGCGAATTGTTTTTTTGGTGGTCGTCGTCGTCGTCGTCGTCGTAGTCGTCGTCGTCGTCGTCGTCGTCGTCGTCGTCGTCGTCGTCGTCGTCGTCGTCGTCGTCGTCGCCAACGTCGTCGTCGTCGCCGTCGTCGCCGTCGTCGTCGCTGCCGCCACCGCCGCCGCTCTGGGCGCCGTCGGCGGTGCTCGCCCCAGCGCGCCGCCGCTTCCGCGGCGGCCGCGCGGTCGCTGTCTGGGTGCTGCACTGCTCCTGGCCACGCGTCCGCTGTTCCTTTCCCTGGGTCGCCTTACTTCGCGCATTGCGCGCCGCGGCGCGCGACGCGCGACTATCTTCTCGCCCTCGCGCCCTCGCGCCGCCCCCCTGGATAAGGGCAACCGCTCTGGCTCAAACTGCGACGCGCGAAGCGCAATCATCTTCGCGCCCCCGAGGGTGATCTGCCTTCCGAATCCGAGAACAGTCCACGTGTGGCTGGTGCCTGGGCGATCCCTCCGTCCCTGGCCTTCGCCAGGGAAAGGAGGGCGTAGAATTCGCTGGCCCAACGGGCCAAGGGCGTGCTAAGATCTCCGGCAACTGGTTAACAATATTCTAGTTCGCGCGCGCGGGGCCGCCCCTGGGGGTCCCCGGACGAAAGGTACCCCGGGACACCCCCGGGACACCCCGGGGACACTCGGATCAGAGATGCCAGACCGGGCAATTGTTCGACACCCCTCACGAGGATCGTGGCCTCCGAGGGGAGGGGCGCAATCGACTACCCCCCTCCTGACCAAGAGGTCCCCAAGAGCCCCCCAAGAGGCTGCAGGGGCCCACAAGACGCCGCCAAGGAACCCCAAGAGGCTCTGAAGAGGCCCCCAAGAGGCCTCCAAGAGGCCCACAAAATACCCCGAAGAGGCCCCAAAGATCGCTGCAGGGCCAGTTCCCCCGACACCTCCTCAGAGGCTCGCCACGAATCGACACGAAGCTGTTCCACGGGGGCCGGTTCAATACAAACATGCCGAACACAACGCCTCAGAAAAGAAGCCGCCGCCCCCTGCAGCTCCGCACTGCCGACGACCTCTCAGCCAGTCGACCGCGGTGCGCAATATGGGCCGGCGGAATGAGCGAAGCGACTGAATTACGCTACCGAGGAACCCCACATACTGATTTTATGTCTTGTGTGAACCGCGCTACCACTACCACCGCCGTCATGCTCTCAGGTGCCCCCTGTGGTCGTTGAAAGGAGGGGGAGGACGTGTGGGGGGAGAGGAGGGGTTGAGGAGTCATCTGTGACGGTCATATCCGGCGTCGCCTGGCACTTGGATACGAAAGGTAATACGCAATCCCGCACTAGAGGCTATGCCTGGACGACCCTGGCACGCATAGGGAGACCACCCCCTGCGCACCCCCTCTGGTGTTGAGAAAATGCCACGCCTGCAATGCCTGGACGACCCTGGCACGCATAGGGAGACCACCCCCTGCGCATCCCCCCTGCTGTCGAGAAAATGCCACGCCTGCCTGCCACGACACTGGCACGCATAGGGGCCGCGGTGAGAGACCACCCCACCCCCCCTGGTGTCGAGAAAGTGCCACGCCTGTCACGCTCTCCGACCCTGGCACGCATAGACGCCGCGGTGAGAGACCACCCCCTGCGCCCCGCCCTGGTGTCGAGAAAGTGCCACGCCTGCCACGCTCTCCGCCTGGCACGCATAGACGCCGCGGTGAGAGACCACCCCCTGCGCACCCTCTCTGGTGTGTGCCACGCCTGCCACGCTCCCCGACCCTGGCACGCATAGAGCCGCGGTGAGAGACCACCCCCTGCGCACCCCCCTGGTGTCGAGAAAGTGCCACGCCTGCCACGCTCATCCGACCACCCCCTGCGCACGAGAAAGTGCATCCGACCCTGGCACGCATAGACGCCGCGGTGAGAGACCACCCCCTGCGCACCCTCTCTGGTGTCGAGAAAGTGCCACGCCTGCCACGCTCTCCGACCCTGGCACGCATAGACGCCGCGGTGAGAGACCACCCCCTGCGCACCCTCTCTGGTGTCGAGAAAGTGCCACGCCTGCCACGCTCTCCGACCCTGGCACGCATAGACGCCGCGGTGAGAGACCACCCCCTGCGCACCCCCCCTGGTGTCGAGAAAGTGCCACGCCTGCCACGCTCTCCGACCCTGGCACGCATAGACGCCGCGGTGAGAGACCACCCCTGCGCACCCTCTCTGGTGTCGAGAAAAGTGCCACGCCTGCCACGCTCTCCGACCCTGGCACGCATAGACGCCGCGGTGAGAGACCACCCCCTGCGCACCCTCCTGGTGTCGAGAAAGTGCCACGCCTGCCACGCTCTCCGACCCTGGCACGCATAGACGCCGCGGTGAGAGACCCCCTGCGCACCCCCCACTGGTGTCGAGAAAGTGCCACGCCCTGCCACGACCCGCGGGACGTGAGAGACCCACCCCCTGCGCACCCCCCCCTGGTGTCGAGAACGTGCCACGCCTGCCACGCTCTCCGACACTGGCACGCATAGACGCCGCGGTGAGAGACCACCCCCTGCGCCACTCCTCTCTGGTGCCCTGGCACGCATAGACGCCGCTGAAGACCAACCCCTGTGGTGTCGAGAAAGTGCCACGCACTGCCCACGGGAGCGCCGCGCTGTGAGAGACCACCCCCTGCGCACCCTCCTGGTGTCGAGAAAGTGCCACGCCTGCCACGCTCTCCGACCCTGGCACGCATAGACGCCGCGGTGAGAGACCACCCCCTGCGCACCCTCTCTGTGTCGAGAAAGTGCCACGCCTGCCACGCTCTCCGACCCTGGCACGCATAGACGCCGCGGTGAGAGACCACCCCCTGCGCACCCCCCCTGGTGTCGAGAAAGTGCCACGCCTGCCACGCTCTCCGACCCTGGCACGCATAGACGCCGCGGTGAGAGACCACCCCCTGCGCACCCTCTCTGGTGTCGAGAAAGTGCCACGCCTGCCACGCTCTCCGACCCTGGCACGCATAGGGGCCGCGGTGAGAGACCACCCCCTACGCACCCCCCCTGCTGTCGAGAACGTGCCACGCCTGCCACGCTCTCCGACCCTGGCACGCATAGACGCCGCGGTGAGAGACCACCCCCTGCGCACCCCTTGCGTCGAGAAAGTGCCACGCCTGCCACGCTCTCCGACCCTGGCACGCATAGACGCCGCGGTGAGAGACCACCCCCTGCGCACCCCCCTGGTGTCGAGAAAGTGCCACGCCTGCCACGCTCTCCGACCCTGGCACGCATACCGCGGTGAGAGACCACCCCCTGGCTGTCGCCATCCGACCCTGGCACGCATAGACGCCGCGGTGAGAGACCACCCCCTGCGCACCCTCTCTGGTGTCGAGAAAGTGCCACGCGGTGAGAGACCACCCCCTGCACACCCCCTCCCTCTGGTGTCGAGAAAGTGCCACGCCTGCCACGCTCTCCGACCCTGGCACGCATAGACGCCGCGGTGAGAGACCACCCCCTGCGCACCCCCCCTGGTGTCGAGAAAGTGCCACGCCTGCCACGCTCTCCGACCCTGGCACGCATAGACGCCGCGGTGAGAGACCACCCCCTGCGCACCCTCTCTGGTGTCGAGAAAGTGCCACGCCTGCCACGCTCTCCGACCCTGGCACGCATAGACGCCGCGGTGAGAGACCACCCCCTGCGCACCCCTCTGGTGTCGAGAAAGTGCCACGCCTGCCACGCTCTCCGACCCTGGCACGCATAGGGGCCGCGGTGAGAGACCACCCCCTACGCACCCCCCCTGCTGTCGAGAACGTGCCACGCCTGCCACGCTCTCCGACCCTGGCACGCATAGACGCCGCGGTGAGAGACCAAGCTGTGCTGAGCAGTGCTGTGAGGAGGAGGGGAGGTGTGAGGTGAGACGCGGGTGCGACGCGGCAGGGAAGAAAACCAGAACCCCACGAAGCATGTGGGGAACCAAAAACCCACGAAAAATGTGGGGAAGAAAGAGAAGGAGAGGGAGGAGAAGGAGGCGGAGACGCGGGTGAGACGCGGAAGGGAAGAAAACCAGAACCCCACGAAACATGTGGGGAATAACTCCAGGCTAGGTAAACCTCAACCTCTTCCCTCGTCGTCGTCGTCGGTGCCGCCGCCGCCGCTGTCGTCTTCGTCGTCGTGGCGTCGCCGTTGTTTTTGTCGCGGTCGTCGCGGCCGTCGTCGTCGTCGTGCTTGTCGTCACCGTCCGTTCTCTTCCCCTTCGGCGAGACTCACCCCTCTGCTTCTCACGAGGTCCTGCTGCCCCCGCGAGTTGCTGGAGGCGCCGATCCTTATGCAGTAGTCATCAGCATGGGGGGGTCCTCATGAGCTCACATTGTTCATCCTGATCCCCAATGCACCAGGGAATGAGGCCTCTAGACGCCGACCGCAATGTGTTTCTGGGAAGCCCGCTGAAATCTGGCAAAAACTCGCTGAATCTGGCGCCAAATCCCAAACACGCTCTGGCGGAGAAATCCTAAGTCGACATATACGCAGACCCCGGGGATGATTGCCGAGTTCTGCCTTCTCCTCCTTCTTCATCCCTCCTCCTGATCCCCCTTCTCCCCTTCCTCATACTCCTCCTGTTTCTCGTCCTGCCCCATCCTCCCTCTGTCCCTCCTCCATTCCGTCTCCGTGAAAACAACTCAACTACTCCTTGTCGCACCCCCAGAAGTGTGGTCCGTAGGGCGGCGGGCCGGGCGTCGCCTGATACTTCCTCACCATGTATGATCCTGAAGCGTAACTTGTGCAACAACTTCAAGGATGGAGGGCGGCGGCCCGTTCTCAAATTGTGCCTCTCGCCATAGCGCCGCGAGTATTCATCCTAAACGTTTACAACAGCTTCAAGCATAAACGGCGGGGGGGGGTCAAACTGTGGATCTCGCCATCGCGATGCGCATGTACGTCTTGAGTTGTTGCAGCAGTTTCAAACATCAAAGGTGGCTCGTTTTCAATATGTGGCTCGCGCTTCAGCGCCGCGCGCAGTCATCGCTTCCCCGTAACAAGATCAAGGATATATGGCGGGGGGGGGTCGAACTGTGGTTCTCGCCTTATCGCCGCTCACACTCCTATAGTTTCGTAACAAGAGGAGCAAGGATAAATGGCAGGGGGGGATCAAACTGTGGCTCTCGCGTTAGCGCCGCGCACATTCGTCATTACCTGCAAGCGCTTCAAGGATGGAGGGCGGCTCCTTCTCCGAATGCGGTTATGTCCCTTGCGCCGCGCACACTCGTTTCGCAAAAATTTGCAACAATTCGAGGAAGGTGTACTGGCACAATTTGGGGCTGTCAAGACGCAACCGTTTCGTGGATTCGCGGCGTTGAAGTCCCAATGGTCATGTTGTGGCACGAAGTAGGGTTGTCAGGAAGCACCAGTCACACGAAATCTAGGCGTTGAAGTCCCACGAGCTGTCCTTGGGTAGTATGGATGTTCTCGTACGGTTGCCCTTCCACGGAGCACTTCCCACCAGAAACCAACTCTTGTTGGTGCCGACGAAGGAGTGAACCTTGAGGGAAACTTTACTGCAACATCGTTGACGCGTCTTCGGTTTGCACCGGTCATCTTATTCCTTCCCTTCCCCCTCCTCCCCCTCCTTTTCCTTCTCCCCCCCCCCCCTCCCCCTCTTAGTCCCCCTCCCCTTCCACCTCCGCTCGCAGAGGCCGCCCGCCTCCGACAGGGTGCGCGCGAGGGCGCTGGACCACCTGCCGAGGTCGGTCTGGTCGGGGCCGACGTGCACGCCGTGCGCAACGCCCGCGCACTTGAGGAGGAAGCCTGGCGCCAACGGGCGAGGGCGTCGAGGAGGGCTCCCCGTTCCAGGCTCATGGCTGGTGGGGTCCGAGGTCGGCAACAAGCGCTGGCACCCCGCGGACGCGCTGAATGGGCATCACTCCCACTGTTCGGAATCCAGGGGTATCGGTGTTCAGACCCTAGCGACTCCTAGGATTGTGTCGGTCATGTCGCTTTGCTTGTTCATTTTATTGCGAATACGCGCGCGGGCGCACGCGGTCGCAAGGCGCTCGCACGTCCTCGCATTGCCTGCAATATTGCACCAGCGTGCGCGGCGCGATATCAACATGAGAATGCGCATTGCGCACGTTGCGCCGCTGACGCAGAAGACCCGCTATGAATAGATCCACGAACAACGCGACTGGTGTCAGAGCGACGAGCAACTACGCCCGAGCCGTTCGCGCAACGCGGCGCGCTTCTGCACCGAGCCAAACTGGCAATGCGCACGCGAGGAGACATAGCGGGGGGCGAGAAAACCGGGGTGGACGACGACGAGGAGGCGGAGGGGAGGGAGGGGGAGCGGGTACTCCCCCTCCCTCCCCGTCCAACTCTTGCTCCTCTTCCTCGTCGCCATCTCATTCGCCATGGTCGTGGATGCCGTGGTTGTCGACGTGCCCATCCTCATCACTACCAGACTGATCGCCCTCGTCGTCGTCGCCTTCCTCCTCTCCGTTTGTCTGTTCCTCATCTCCCTCCCCCTTCTTCCTCCTTCCCCGTCGCGCCCCCCGTCCACGTCCTTCCCCACCTCCTCTTCGCCCTCCTCATCCAGCTCGCTCGCCTCCTCCTCGCCCTGCCCATCCCCACCCCTCCAGCTGCAAACCTACTAGCCACTAGCCCCCTTCCCCGCCCTCCTCATCCAACCCTCCGCGCATTCATCCATCCTCTCCTCCTCCGGCCGTCTTCCCATGCTATCCCCCTCCTCCTTCCCGCGCTGCTTCCTCCTCCGCCTCCCGCCTCGTGCCTCTTGCCCCGCCCTCCCCTTCCTCCCCCCCCCGATGCGGGGAATTCAGAGCTCGCGTTCGTGCAAGGCGGGGGAGCACACCTGCCAGGATACCACCGAAACCAATGCGTCTCTTGAGCAGCCCCTGCGCAGAGAAACGGATCCTATCAGAAAACGCATCCTGCCACGAGGGCTCGACCGAGGCCGAGGATGCCCTCCCTGCCCAAGGAGTCGCGAGCCACTCAGAGGACTCTGGGAATGGACTGGCACCAGGCGCCTGCAGGAACACAGCCAGCAGAAGCCTCCTAGAGGCCCAGCGTGGGCGAACAACTGATGGAAACAAACTCGATTCTCGAAGTGCAGAACTCCCCCTTTAGTCCCTTCTCCTTGTAGAGGGCTCCTCCACGTCGCGCCCCCAGGCGTGGTATGGTGGACCAGGCGTGTCCCTTCTGAGACTTCCTCAACACTCATGGCGCTGGCGTCAGAAGTTTGCAACACTGACACGGATGGAGGATGGCCGCTTCAAAATGGGGCGCCCGCCTTAGCGCCGCGCACATTCGCCTTACACATGTGTAGCAACTTCGCAGATGTAGAGAAGGGGGTAGTTTTCAGACTGGTACTCTTGTCTCAGTGCCACACACTTTCGACTTCAACGCGCGCAACAGTTTTAAGCATGGAGGGGAAGCTTCAACCTATGACTCGAGCCTTAGCGCCCCGCATATTCGCCGCGTACAATGCAAAACATGGTACCGGCCTCTTCAAAATGGAGCTCTCCGTTTAGCGCCGCGCACATTTGCGTTGAAACAATGCAAAGGGCAGAAAGCATGGAGGCAATTCCTCTTCAAACTGCGGCCCTGGCCCTGGTGCCGAGCACATGACTCTCGAAATTTGCAGCCATGACAAAGATGGGGAGAGAGCCTTATTGAGAAAGGTGCTCTCGCCTCAGCGTGGCCCACCTTCGTCTAAACATGTGGCAAGGTGTATGGGGATGGAGGGCGGTTCGTTCTCAAAGTGTGGTTTTCTCTTGCGACATCTGCAAGGTTGAAGACAACACACATGAACATGTGTACCAGCTGCATAGATGGATGGTGGCTGCTTTTCGAACTGGGGTTCTCGCTTGAGACCTTCTCGAAATCCATGACCGGAAGTGAAAACAGATGCACCACTTACACTGATAGGAGGTTATTTTCATAAAGGGGGATCTCGCTGGTCACACCTCGCTAAATCGTATGAATGTTCACACCTTCTCGCAACACATATTCCCTGAATAAGATCATGCAAACTAGAAAGCAACGCCTTTTCAAAACAGGGCTCTCGCCTAAATCGGGGCACGCTTTCAAAAAAGCCTTCATCTAGTGAAAAGGAAGGCTGGTAAGGACTGATGAGGAAGGGACTCGGGACGAAAGGGTGTATTACAGCATCGTTGTCGTACCGTGGGTTTACTCAGGTCCTCCCCCTCTCCTCCTTCTCCTCCTCATCCCCCTCCTCTGCCTAGGCAGGGGAAAATGAACCGAGGGAGGCGACGGAGGGACGCAGGGCGCAGGGAATGCATGGGCACGGCACGCCCTGATCGACGATCTCCAGCGACTGGAGGGCCGACATGGCAATCCTCGGAAGGAGGACGCAATGGCCCACAGCAACGTACATCACCATTTTCTGATGTCCACGCAGATTTCATGGATCGGCGCCAGGCACCCCTGGCTGCGCCTCCAGCGCCGCCCCTCTGGCGCGCTTCGCGCGCCAGGGAGAAGGGTCCAGCGCACATCCGAAAAATCCGCGCGGACGTCCGAGAAGAATGCTGATGTAACTGTTCCTTCGTGAGGAGGGCAGACCCGCACGCCGGGACAGCTGCTCGCAGCAGCCACCTAACGCGAGATGCCAGGCCCTCCACTCTTTGCGGAGAGGTGGCCCATGGCGGGGGGGTGGCGCGCGAGGCCAGAGGAGGCCCTGAGATGCATCAGGGCTAGGAGCTGGCAGGGCAGGGGGATCGGAGGAGAAGCGGATCGGACGAGCGGGCAGACGGAAACGAGAAAATGGGAGAAAAGGCGAGGAGAGGCGAGGAGAGGATGGGAGATACGAGGGGAGACGAGGGGAGGGGTGCGCTCCCGCCGCGTACCAGTCCCTTCCCACAGCGTTTTCTCCATGCGCCGGCGGGCGGGGAGAGGCGATGGAATGAGAGCGAAGCTGTGCAAGCTGCGCACATCCGGAAAGGCCCGGAATGGGCGCGCGAGCGAAAAGGTGTGCCGGCGCAGGCTGCTTCAGGCGAACCAGGTCGTTTACGGCATTCTCGGAAAAAGGTGAAAGAGAAGAAGGTCATGCGCAAGGGTAGAAGGGGGCAGGGAAAGGGCACGAGAGTTAGGAGGCAACTACTGGGAGGTTTTCGTCGGAAGGATTAAGGAGGATTAAGCCCCATTGGGGGGCTCTTACGCAAGAGTGGGCCTCGGATTAAGCGGGATTAAGCCGGATTAAGCGGGATTCATCCGGATTAAGCGGGTTTAAGCGGGATTAAGCCGGAGTTCGGACCAGGGCAAAATCAGAATTTGACCTCCCAGGAGTTGCATCCGAACGAGAGGAGAGCGGAAGGAAATGGAGGGCAGCGGAAGGGGAATGAGGGAAGGAAGCAGACTAGAGAGGGCGGGAACGGGACGAAGACGATGGGGGAGAGGCAAATGGAGAAGGGGAAGGGAGGCCGGGTGAGGTGGAAGGGGCACGAAGAAAAGTAAATAATTGGAGGTGGGAAAACCCACTATGGGCCACTTGTCCACAAGACCCTGAGCATTCAATGCGACTCGACCTCATGTTTTTTCCAGCCCGCTGTCCGACCCGCGACCCGTTTTTTGTTCTTAAGCAATCCTCGCGGCTATGCTTGGTTAATCCGCCGATCCGGCGTGTGAGTTTAAGAAAACTACAACCTGAGCTTCAGCTCTGCTGGGGGGGGGCCGGGGTGGCTCTGCCAGGGCAGGGGGGGAGGGGGGGGGGTCATCGGGTCCACGCTTTCTTTCCCCGCCCCTCGGGAATCCCAAACCGCCCAAAGACGGGCCAAAAGGGGCCCAGGAGGCCACCAAGACGGTCAAGGAGGCGCCCGAAACGGTCCAAGAACGCTCCTGGACGCCCAAGATGGCCTGAAGACGGCCCAAGAGGCCTTCAAGACGCCTCAAGGAGATCCCAAGAGGACCCCCAAGAGGGCACAACAATAAAGTTGCTAAAAGGTTTTGAAGCATTTTAATAATATCGCCTTTTCCGTCTTAGAAGCGCCGAAGGCGGTCCAAGAGGCCCCCAATATCGCCCCAACACAGCCCAAGAGGCCCCCAAGAAAAGCCAAGACGGTCCAAGAGGGCCCCAATATAACCCTGGAAGCCCCCAAGACGACCCCGAGAGGCCCCCAAGATGGCCTCAAGAGAGTGAACCCGCACGGACCCTTCTAGTCCTCCACCCCAAGATGACCCCAAGAGCCCCCAAGATGCCCCCGAGGCGCCCCCAAGGGGCCCCCAGAAGCCCCCAAGAGGTCCCTAAGAGGCCCCCAAAAGGAGCCCGAGAGGCCCCCAAGAGGCCCCAAAGGTCCCCAAGAAACCCTAAGAACCAAGAGGCCCCAAGAGGCGCTCACTCGCGTGCTGCCAGGCCAGAGGTGCAAAACCTGACTTGGCATTGCTCGGAAGCGAAAGCAATGAACGAAGAACCTTCCACCCGTCGCCGTCACCAGTCGTCGGCCGTCGGCAGCCGTTCGCCGTCAGTCGTCGTCGTCGTCGTCGTCGTCGTCGTCGTCGTCGTCGTCGTCGTCGTCGTCGTCGTCGTCGGTTCGTCGTCATTAACTCCTTCGTCGGTCGTCGTCGTAATTATCCCGCTCGTCGACCGTTGGTCGTCCGTTGTCGTCGTCATCGCCCATTTCAACAATAGCATCACGAGCGCCCCGGATCGGCGGCACTGGCCGGGGGCCACTACAATATATCCTCTGGTGTGATGGTTTGATCACAACGAAAACTGCCTGGTTAATAGATCCTCTGGCGTGATGTGGTCTGATCACAACGAAAACTGCCAAAACACTAGATTCAGTCGGCTTGGTTGCTGGGTTTTGTCTGGTAGCCTTGAACCGGCTCGGAAGATAACATACAAATCACAAGTGAAGCTGGAACATGTGTAAGAGTGTCTGGAAAGCTCGAGCACGGCTGCCAGTCCCGCCGGGCATGCCAAGGAGGAACGGGAGGGGGCGAAGGCGCAAA